TCGGCTGGGTCAGTTGGTGTTTCTGTGTGGAGTTTGCATGTTCTCCCTGTGTTCGTGTGGGTTTCATCCGGGTGCTCCGGTTTCCCCCACAGTCCAAACACATGCGGTACAGGTCAATTGGGTAGCGTAAATTGTCCGTAATGTGTGTGTGTGTGAATGTGTATGGGTGTTTCCCATAGATGGGTTGCGGCTGGAAGGGCATCTGCTGCATAAAAACTTGCTGGATAAGTTGGCGGTTCATTCCGCTGTGGCGACCCCGGATTAATAAAGGGACTAAGCTGACAAGAAAATGAAAGAATGTTAGTTTTAGAGCTTTTTTTTTCTTCAGTGATTTTTATTTATTTATTTATTTATTTTTGTGTCGTAGTAAAATCACTGAAGTACATTTAAAACAACTAGATGACGTGCATTTGATCTAAAAATAAGCTAATAAATAAGTGAAAAGCCATTAAAAGTAGAGGAGATGAAGAGGTGTGCTTTAATCCTGTGCTCCTCCTACACCTTCATTAACTTCAGCTCCTCATCATCCGCTTTCACAGACACAGATCTGAGTGTTGGTGTTTACAGCTTATTAATAATAAACCACTGATTATAAAACATTAGATTTAATTATTTATTATTATTCTAAGAAACTGTATAACACTATAACGGATACAGTTCATGAGCACAATTCTGTTGCACAACATCCACATTAGATAAACAGGAAGAGCGAAACAAAAAAACTATAATAATAAATAAAAAAATTATAAGAATAAAATAAAAATAAATACAATTTTAAGTTGCATGAAAGATCTTATCATATTTTTCAACAAAGAAGCACATTTCTAATTATTAATTATAATATATATATATATATATATATATATATATATATATATATATATATATATATATATATATATATATATATATATATATATATATATATATATATATATATATATATATATATATATATATATATATATATATATATATATATTTTTTTTTTTTTTTATTTTTTTATTTTTTTTTTTTTTTTTTTTTTTTTTTTCTTTCTCTCTCTCTCTCTCTCTCACTCTCTCTCTCACACACACACACACACACACACACACA